GCCGAATGGCCTACTCTTGCACAATACTTCCTATATTTCTAAGTTAGTGCATCCTCTGAGAGCCCTCCAGCTCACTGTTTTGTTGCTTTGTCTCCCGTGGCGCCAACAGGGACCAGGCCCTGTGATTGACTCCTTGGGACCAGATTCCAAGTTTCCAAGCAGGGGCCGCTTTGCAAAACAAGAAGAAAAAAATGTGTTAATCTGATCAACCAGGAATAATGGGCTGTCGTGAACCGTCATGTTTGTGTTGTGGAGCTGCCGGCGCTGGACTGGGCTGGACAGGTCAGGAGTCACACGACACCAGATTATAGTCCAACAGGTTTATTTGAAATCATAAACTTTCTGAGCGCTACTCCTGCACGACGATAATCTGGTTTCGTGTGACTGTGAGTAACAAAGGTCTTGGAAGTTTTATAAATTACACATTTACACCGGTCACATTTTTTTGTTTTACAATCAGTTTTATCACAAAGCGCAGCCCACACTCGGGTTTGCAGGTTTGTGAATGATCTGTTTCAGACGGGAGAAAGGTTGACTCTTTTTGTCCTGGTGTTTCTTGAAGTTAATGCATGTTCAGCAGCTCTGTAGTCAGTAATCTTGGATAAGTACAGGCAGCCAGATCGCGGGTGGCTGTTACTGCATTCAGGAAATCAGAGGTATCAAAACAGATATTGAAAACAGGACTTTATAAGGCGTAATTTATGAAAGGTGTAGCATTTTTTTTTCTCCCGCGTCGGCGTTGCAAAGATGTAAACTCGTGTGCCATGTTAAATCTACTTTCTGTCCCCCTGTGGCATTATTAACATTGCGTCTGTAGTGAGACTGTTCTGTCAAGGAAGGTGTGCGCAGCGGATCTTGAAAATAATAGCTTGGAGTTGAAATCCTCTCTCGTTTTACGATCTGTTGTCATTTTGGGCGAAGTTTGAACGCTACAGTAAATACACTTCATCTGCTCCCCCATGACCCTGGGCCCCAGGCGGAAAGTCTAACCGGTCAATTAACCAGCACAAGAGATAATGAACGACAGACTGGTTTAGTGACACCCATAACAGTGCACTCAGATTCATGGCCAATTGCTCTCTCGTCGAGATTGAAGTCTAAGTTGAGCGCATAAAGTGCCATCGTGTTACAGTAATTGACGTTTGTCCTTTTGCAGACCGTCCTCCCAGTCAGAAGCCGGTCAACCAACTCGGCATAGGGGTGGGGGCAGCAGGATGTTTCCTCGACCACCAACCCCGCCCCCCCACCCACCCCCTTAACCCTCCCCCGCCCCACCCCCAGCCTTCCAGCCCACGGAAGCTCTCTGCAGTATCGTGTGTCAGACTTTAACAATACTTCAGTTAAGATTTTTACATAGCACAGTCAACGATTTATGGAAGTGTACGGTGGGTAAAGGGACACTGGCAGAATGAGACGCCGCGTTTCCTCTGTGCTGGGATCTGTAGAAATACATAGAATTCCAAGCATTTCTAGGGATCTATGGCCTAGGCATGCCCACTAATTTTTGGAACCAGTACTGTCGGTTTATTTTACGATCAGAAAGGCTAACAGGCCGAGAGGAGTGAGATAACCTTTACTTACACTGCTTCCTGCCCGGGTACCTTGCTTTCTAAATCGGAGCGAAGCAGTTACACACAAACTCAATAAATCGCAACAATCAACCAAGATTTTCTTTCTGCCAAATTGGATTGTCCAACTCGTAATAAAGGCACAGTTCCATGATTACTTTCCATTTCACCTGATTTAGCATCTAAAGTATCCAGCTGGTTTAATTTCTGAAAGTGAGCCAATTCCTCTGCCATCTGAAGTAAGTATTGTTCTATAATGCTAAACAAAAGGGTTGCAAAAATACATTAAAGAAGCACATTTAAGCGAATAAATCACCCCCTCATCTGAATTATGGAATTTAGTCGTTTATGGGAAGCGCTAGACTCATACCTCACTCGTGAAAGTTAAACTTATAGATTCTTGTTCATTCTATAGGAATGGGCCTCCTTCGAATTGCACTTTCATTGTGCAGTAACTCTGTTGTAGAATACAGAGCTCCAACATGATTCTGTAGCTGCATTTCTTTGGATTCTTTATCGAGAAAAAAATAAAGTAAGTCAACGCTTCGACCGTTTATATTTCTGAGTTCATTTCATTCTCAGCAATGATTCTCCTAGATTGCTGAACAACATTCCCTCTTCAAGCAGAACAGCAAGAAACAAAATTATTATTATCATTTCAGCGCCGGGGAGGATAGTCTCCGTGTGTACTACGTAAGTGACCGCACTTCAAAAATACTTCACTAGATGTGAAGACTTTGGAGCTCCACAAGAGACTGAATTAGGGTTATGTAAATCAAAGTTCTCCAACAATTTACTTGTATTTATTGTAAGGGAGGTAAAAATCAAACAAACCACAGTGCATTGACTTTCTTAATGAATCCAAATGATGTTTTGTGAACAACCGCTCTAGCCTACTGGAAGCGAAAGCCTCCCTTTGGAATTAAAATAATTGCCGCGTCCCTTTCATATCCGTCGAAGAGATTCAGTTAATGTGTCAGGAAAATAAACTGTTAAAAAAAGCAGAAGATAAGTGCAGGCAAGGTTGGCGTTCTCAGTCATGGAGTTAAAAAGTCATATCCCACGGACACAGACCCTTCTGTCCAACCAGTCCACGCCAACCAGAATTCCAAACTAGTCCCGCCTACCCACTCCTGGCCCGTATCCATCCAACCCTTTCCTATTCATGTACTTATCCAAATGCCTTTTAAACGTTGTAATTGTACCCGCATCCACCACTTCCTCAGGAAGTTCATTCCACATGCGAACCACTCTTTATATAATACAAAAATGCCCCTCGTGTCTTTATAAAATCTCTCTCCTCTCTCCCAGTCTTGAACTCCCCCATCCGAGGGAAAATACATTTACCATTAACCCTATATATATACCTCGTGATTTTAAAAACGTCGATAAGGTCACCCGTCAACCTCCCTGCGCTCCTGTAAAAAAGTCCCAGCCTATCCAGACTTTCTTTGTAACTCTTTATAACCTTCCATAACCTGGTAAATTTCTTCTGAACCCTCTCCAACTTAATAAAATTCTTTCTGTAAAGGGGCAATCAGAACTAGACACAGTACTCCAGAACAGGCCTCACCAATGTCATGTACACCTTCAACATGACATCCCAACTCCTATGCTCAAAGGACTGAGCAATGAAGGCAAGTTTGCTAAATGCCTTTTTAACCATCCTGTCGAGATGTGATGCAAAGTTCAAACAGTTATGTACCTGAACCCCTAAATCTGTCTTTAATTCCTTTTTTTTTGCTCGAGAGAGAGCTCCATCGAAATGCTGTCATTGAAGGGGACATCCTGGAGACTACCACCGTACCAATTTATAGATACTGTGCCTACAACAGCAGGTCAAAGTCTGGGAACTCTGTAGCTGGTAACTCACCTTCTGACTCCCCAGTGTCTCTCTACCATTTACAAGTTAGAATGCTGATGGAATACTCTTTAGTTTCCTGGAAGGGTGCAGCTCCAACAACACCCGAGGAGCCTGAACACCATCCAGGATAAAAACAATCTACCACCTTCAACATTCACGCTGTCCAGCTCCCCACCACCCCCTCTGCCACATACACACACGGGTAGCAGGGTGTGCCATCTCCAAGTCTCTGAAGCAACTTATTGAGGCTACTTTATCGCACCTTCCAAACCTACAACCTCTACCACCTGAAAAAAAGGCAAGGGCAGCAGATACATGGGAGTATCACTTCCGGCAAGCTCCCCTCCAAGCCACTCAACAGACCTGAAACATCAACTTTCCTGCTCCTCTGATACTGCCTGGCCTGCTGTGTTCCTCCAGCTCCACGCTGTGTTATCTTGGAAATATATCACTGTTCTTTCACTGTGGCTGGGTCAAAATCCTGAAATTTCCTTCCTAACAGCACTGTGGGTGTACCTACTGCAAAACTGCAAAAGTTTAATAAGGAGGCAGCTCATCTCCTCTTTCTTAAGGGCAGTCTTGATGGGTAATATATGCTGACGTGGGCAGTGACGTCCACAACATATGAGCGAATAAAACAAATCCATTAACATTTCATTCAAAGAAAGCCTTTCTACCCTTCGACATTGGAATTTAACTTTGGCATCACCATGCTGTGAAAGTCACTCCTACAATATACAGGCCGTTTTAACGAATTAAGAATTGTAATTTTTTTCAAACAACGAATCACTGAATTGTATTTCAATAGAACAGTGCGGCCCTATGAATTGCGTTGCTCATTTATTCGGTCTATTTTTGTTTAGATTGATGGGGAGGTCTGGGGGTACGATTGTGATGATGATAATACCGAAATAGATTGGTTGAATGCTAAATCTGTGAGTTGCAAAGATGTTCTAAGGATAGAGCTGGGGTTTGCTGTTCAATGCTCGCAGTCTGGGTCTTCCGCTCGCAGCTGCCTCCCGTTTGTTAGCACATGTTAATAATGATCAAAACCAGACAGGCCGCTAAAGGGATGCCCCCGCTGGGGCAATTCAGTGATCAAATTGCAAATAATGACTGAAAGTGGGCGCTAAGTCACGCTACAGAGAGAGAGCAGATGGAGTGGATTTTGCATTTAAGTGAACTGCCCAAACCTGTCAGCGCCGTCCCGAGAGGACTATGTTTAAAATTTCTGAGCATCAACTGCTACATTGGAGCCAGTGCTTCGCCTCATTTCAAATGGACCCTGTGTGTCTGTGTGTTTATGGGTGACTCATAATCCAATCCGCACCATGCTGGGGGTGGGGGTGGGGGGGAGGAGACATATGTCTTTCGCTGTCATTGCTGCAGGCTCCCCTCAAACACACCCAGTCTCCATTCCCCCCCTGGGGCTGCGGGCGATCCTGTCTCCCAGCGCCTCAGTGCAACCTGGCGCCTTTTAGCGTTTGTCGGCCCCCAGCGGCGCTCAGCTTCGTCTCAAATGCGCTTTGGGGAACCCCCTGGCCTCTCGTCGACCATTCGGCCGGGTGCTACCTGCACCCACACGCTTCCACTGCCATGTCCTCGTACTGTTTATAGACCACATTGTTGCCCGAGTCTATGTAGAGAATGCTAATGGCGCTGAGTTTGGATGGGACACAGCAACTGGGTGGTGTGGACTCCGGGTCCATGGAATTCATCAGCGTTTGTATGATGGCGTGGTTAGTGGGTTCCAGGTGGGACCTGAGTGGGAAATCACAGATCCCTTCGCAATGGTACGCCTCGTAATCCAAAGGCGCGATGATCCAGTCATCCCAGCCCAGCTCCTTGAAATTAACATGAAGAGGTTTCCTGCTGCATCTTGACTTGACTTTTTTACCACTTCCTCTACTGGGCCTGCCTGAAAACGCAGTTCTCCTTTTCCTACGGCGCTTGACACTGGGTTCATTGCTGGCTGGTAGCGAGAACGATCCACCCAGTGACTTGATCTTATCTCTGATCTCCCGGAAAAGGTTTTCCCTTTTCCTGGTGTTGCTGAACGCCACGAGAAGCGCTTTTTCCTGGGGCTGCAGATCAGAGCGATTAAATCCCAGCAGTCTGGGGTCTAAAACCTCCTGGGAGTAATCGGAAATTATTTCCACATCTAAACATAGCAGGTTTGCACTGATGTGGCTTTTCAGTAACTCCCACACGTCGAACACTTGCCACTCAGATGAATCGGTATCCAAGATGTCAACTGTCCGTGAATCAACTCTTCCTGGTGCTTTTTTGCCTGGCTCCTCACATTGATACAGCAACATCCGATAGACGCTGCCTCCCCGGGACAGCGCCGCCTGCAGATCAGCCGGCAATTTCCGGAAAATCCTCAGCTCAGCTCCCACCAGCTCTCCGCTGTCCGGCAGCTTGGTGATGTCGAATAGGTATCTCTGTTTCTTACCCACGGTGATTCCGTCTGCAAAAGAGAAAAGCCAGAGATCGAAACTCAGCAAAGACCGTGAATCCAGAAGAGGGAGAAAAGTGCACACAGCAGCAGGGAAGAAATCAAACAAACAGATTTGCTGGAAAAGCTCAGCAGGTCTGGCTGCATCTGTGTTGTATAGAAGGGTCACTCGACCCGATACGTTAACTCTGATTTCTCTCCGTAACTCTGATTTCTCTCCATAGATGCTGCCAGACCTGCCGAGCTTTTCCAGCAATTTCTGTTTTTGTTTCCCATTTACAGCTTCCGCAGTTCTTTCGGTTTTTAGATGTTAAAATGCTATTCGATTAAAATCAAGCGAAAAAAATGAACATTCAAGTTAAATAGAATTCTACAGGCTTCAAATGGTTGCAATTAAAACAAAAGATTGTTCGGGGAAATATACTGGAAAATACCTAATTGGATTTTTTAAAAGTTTAATTTCAGCTGAAGTCCATACCGTTGAACTGTCTTTCCCCTCTTTTTAATATTACCCTACTTGCTGCATACTTATTTTGTAGACTTTTGCTCAACATTTAAGTTGGAAACAGCAGGAGTTCACTAAACTGAAGGAGAATTTTGGCCTTTCATTGTAGCAGTAAGTCGCTGTGGTTTCTACTTGAGTCACCTGTTTGTGTAAGCTTTGTGACATTATACCTTTGTATTCTCACCCATTCTAGTCACGCGTGGCTAAATACAAACAACTTGCAAAAACGAACCTGATCTTATCGTGTTGCCAAATGTCCTCTGCAGACCTACCCTGATCTAAGTTGAGCGTTAGAAAACTACAAGCACTGCAACCAGTACATTTTAATATGAAACTTATGCAGGTGCCCGATAGACCATCTGCAGCAGGTAAGCAGTATAAAGAACACGGGAGCCGAGCCACAGCGATTGACAGTCCCTGATCTGATAAAATCAGTAAAATCATCATTCTCGAATTCCCTACCAGATATCCTGACAATCACCATTAACTAAAACGTTTATGAACCAGTAATGTTTATTTACAAGAATAAAACAAGATTTAGGAGTGTGATGTCATAATGTGGCCACAATAAATCAAAAGAAATAATGATCGTTTGTCTGCCCGTGTGCTACCAAAGCAACCCACAGAAAGATTAAAACCAGGTCAGAAAAAGAGCTTTGTTGGCGCTCTTGTCATGAGCACAGTATTGACATCCTCTACCATCAATGCACAATGGTCGCAGTGTGTAATTCTATAGGCTACATGGCAGTTACTCATTTGATAGTTTCTGTTCTACAAAATCCGCATGGACATAACTCCAACTTCTCCTTTAAGTTGCACATTACCCCGATGTAGACATACTTGTCATTGCTTCAGAAACAGTAGGTTAATCTCACTACCCCACAAATGTTGAAAGTCCCATCAACACAAGAATTGTACAGGTTCAAAGAGAAGCTCCATCACCATCTTCTCAAAGCAAAGAGAGATAGTCTTCCCAGCGCTACCCTCATGCCAAGAAGGAATATTTAAAAATTGGAAACGTCTAACATGAGAAATACGCCAAAACTTCGTCAACAAATATCATGAGTTCCATAATTGTAAACCTGTACACGGTGCATTAAACTTTTCATTATTACGGTAGTCATGATTACAGTCCCATAAATATAAAAAAGGTCTAGCGAATAAATCTATTTTGATTTTTCTTACGAATTTTTTGCTTTGTCCTCTTCTGAAGACATTTCTGCTTACTGGGTCACTAATCAACATCTCACGTCACTGGGTGTTGAGATCGGAGCCATTACAGTTCGGAGAAAGTTTAACAGACTAATAGCCGAAACAGCTCCTTATGAGGAACACTGGGCTGGTTAGGTTTCTGTCCAATGGAGTTCGGAAGAGTAGGAGGTGATTTTTTTTCCATAAAAAAGAAACATTTACAGAATGCAGGCATTGCGACGTGGGCCAGTCCAGGCACCAGGAATTTCATTTCTTAAATGACGTAAGTGAACCAGGTGGGGGTTTCCCCATGGTCATTATTACTTTCTAATTCCGGATATTTTAATTGAATTTAAATTCTACCATGGTCGGAATCAAATTCAGAGTATTACATGGGTGTCTGCATTAATGATCTCCAGATAATACCATCAAGGCATCACTTGCCCTTAAAGCATGCAGGATCCAACGGATTCTTAACAGGTTAGAAAGGATATTTCCTTTTAAGGGAAGATCTAGAACTATTGATTACTGTTTAACAATCAGGGATCGCCCAATTAAAACAGAGATTAGGCGATTTGGTTTTGTCTCTCAAGGGGTTATGAGTCTTTGGATCTCTCTTGTTGAAAGTGGAAGCTGAGTCTTCGTGTTTCATTTGCGGTGGATACATTGCTGTAACGCAAGGGGGTGAAATGTTATCACAAGTATAGGAGGGAATGTGGATCTTAAATTGCGAACACATCAGTAGGTTAGAGGGACTGAATGGGCTAGTCCTGCTGCTTGGGTGTGAGGTTAGGAAATAAATAAAAATATTGGGTGACTGAGGGCATTACAAATCTGGCCATCTTTTCGATGTTCAAAATCCCTACAGGTACAACATTCAGCATTTGATTTTATTTATTATTGTCACATCTACTACATACGTAAAATGAGAAGTTTTGTTTTGCGTGCAGAACAGGCAGATCATACCACACAACATATTGGTTACTTAGCTAATATAGAGTGACTTCATTTAATTTCTGGTCACAACACACGAGTGCTGAAACCAGTTGTAAGGTTATTACTTTCATACCTAGCCAACTCAATACATAGACTGAAATCTTTCTAGTCTCTAAAGTCAAGCGCTTCACCAATGTCGGCTCACATTAATGAGGACTGGGTTGCTTTAAGTAAGATGTACTAAATAGTGACAAAATATGAGGTGCACAGATTTAAAACAAAAATATCTTCTCGAATTCGTGCTGGAACTAGGGTTAAGTATTTTTCTTAAACGGAGGAATCTGTGTCTATGACCCACCAGTTCATTGGATAAGTGTTCGTAAAAGGAATTAAATTCACCACGCACCCCTCGTCCAATATGCAATATGAACTGTTACTGGCCCATCAGTTTTTTTTTATTGATCATTTCCATCAACTTCCGAATGAATTATTTGTCTCCTATATTACGCTTTACTGACTAGCCTCGCGTTACATTTATCTCCCCAGAGGCTTTTAACCATCAGCGCCGAATACCATCGTTCTGAGCAAATCTCTCATCTTGCCGAATGTAGAGGAAACGACGCGCGCACTCAAACCGTGGTGCACGTACAAGTGAAATAACATTTTCGTTCAAACATCCCTTGGCCACGGACCCAGGAAACTGCGTGATACTCTGAAGAGGCGGAGATAAATTGAGGATCCCTTCCGCAGATTCGGGGCCGCAATGACTGTTAATAAAGGGGTAGTAGGAAATGCCGATCCTGGAGTCTGAGATAACAAAGTGTGGAGCTGGATGAACACAGCAGGCCAGGCAGCATCAGAGGAGCAGGATATGTTAATAAAGGTTCGCGAGGAAGCGCCAAGGGACTGGTTAAAGGTACTTTTCCACTCCAGAGTACAGAATGACTAAGCTGTACACCACCAGAACACTTGGTTTGACCTGATAGATTGATGCTGTGGAAAGTGGAAATCCATCTGTAGCGACCAACTTCCTTTTTAAAAGCAAACTATCCTTACTAAATCGTCAATGATAGATCACAGTACAGTGGAACATCAGTAATAGAATAAATTCAGATTATGTAATTTGATTATTGATCGAATCCCAGCCGAGTGGCATATACAGTAAAACAGATTGGGGATATACTGTCACAGATGTTACTGTGAATAACACTATGATAACACGGCTATCAGTGACCGCTTTTATTTCTACGTTCGAATTGGGAGCACGTCACAGTCCAGTTTATAATCTAAGAAGCTAAAATATTTAATTTGCTCCAAGTGCGAGCCTAAATATTTCCACTTTGAACGTCTCATGTTGTCCCGGTTTAGAGAGTCTCCGGTCATATATTTCAGAAAAACAAAACCCCGCAAGAATATACCCGATCCATCAGTGTCTGTACTGGGAACATCTACAGTAAGCAAAAGGCCAAGCACCGGAAATTAGCAAAACACATGTTTTTTTTCCTTTTCAGTCGCTAAATGACCTGCATTTTTTTTTGTTAATTTCAGATGTCCAGCGCTTAAGGCATTTCACTGTTACTTCATTGTGGTTATGCCAAATGCAAACAAGCGCCCAACGGCAACTTTGGAGTTCCCGTCCACTTTGGGAATGCAGTTGCGACTTGCTCTTGGAGTAGTTTAGTTTTTAAAAACACAGAAACAGCCGAAAGTGGCTGCAGATTTCAACCCCAGGTCCAACAAGGGAAACCAGGAGGTTTTGGCGTGACCTACGTATTCAGAACATAACCCAGTGAGGCAAAAGTCTCCCTTCCGCTGGTCCGATTTTTTTTCAAAGTTAGAAATCACACGACGCCAAGTTATAGTCCAACATGTTTACTTGAAATCACAAATTTTTCGGAGCAGCTGGGGTTGTCGTGTGACTTCTGAGCTTATCCACCCCATTCCAACACCGGCACCTCCACATCACAGCTGTTTTTTTATTAAATATTTGTGAGAGAAAACTTGTAATACCCTATCTTGGTTTATTCAAAGAAGGACGGACGTTTTTGAACTGGAGATTTGTTTTTAAAAGAGAAAAACCTTCATTATTGTCACATTTCCTCACAGAGCTCCATTAGCATTTCTGAGCGAAAATCTTTTAATTTCGTTACCAGGACTCGCTCTGATTGCTGTAGAGTCTGAGCCTAGCGCTGACAATGTAACTTTTCCTGCGGCTTAACACTGAGCTACACATGTCAATTTCACATTAGCCTCTTGCCTTCTGGAGAACCGCATTCGAAACACATTTTTCCTGGTCATTCACCAAGATACAAACCAGATACAGTTACCTGGACACCTTTGCCCGCTCCTGCCGATCGTGTGGCTTTTGTGTGAACTGTGA